TAGTTAAACACTTATGTGATTTCATCAGTGTAATGCAGATTAATCTATGATTTTATTTGAAAAAAATATGTGTTTGAGGTTGTTGGGAAGACATGTTCTAACTTCAAAGGGAGGTATATCCGTTACAGTGTAAGTTTGATTATTTTTCCTTCATCACGTCGCCTCAGTTCATATCATACTTCTGTGTCAATGAATAACCCTCTAGCACAGTTTTGAGAAATTGGTTGTGGGGTTACTGTTAAAACTGGAATTCCTTGACACGGGGGGTGTCATTTAGTTGTATCAGCCTTACCACAATTACATAAAGTTGTCAATATAATCTCTCTACGAAATGTTAGGTGTCGTGGAATATACTTGAAGTGAAGTTTGCTTTTATTCTTGAACTGTTAGGGGTCTCGTCGTTTATATGGTCGTGCGACTTCATTGGCAACAAATAATGCAAATGACATAGCAATGTAGCATTTCCAAAAAGCAAAAAATATTGTAAATTGGCTATTACGTAAAAATTGACGTTTACATGCATTGTTAAACACTGTATCCTATAAAGGATGATGTGATCTAGTTTAAAAGGAATATGGTCTTTCTGTAATGACAGTAGCTGCTTGTATAGTATTTACTCATTGGGCCATTTTTTACAGCCAAAATGTGTTATTTTCAATAATGTTACCAACCCAGTGGGCCACGGTCCGTAATATAGGTCACTGCAAATAATTTGTCAAGATATGTACCATTTTAGGCAAGGTTCCTGTGTTTGGATGCTATTAGACACGGTAAGAGAGGTCCGTGAATTTTGCGTACCCATATTAGCGTATCCACTTTTGTTCATACCAATCGTTAGTTCATAGTTAGTTCTCGATAGTTCTCCAATATTCTCGTTAATTCTCAAAAATAAAAATGTTACGAGGCATACAAAGTGGGTACGCTAACTTCACAATTATAGAATTTCCAGCGGGCACCGTTTTCTGACTGAAAATCCTTATATCCATATACCAATCGTTTGTTTTTTGTTAGTTCTCGATAGTTCCCAAATTCTTTCGTTAGTTCTCAAAAAATAAAAAAGTTATAGCCGATAATAAGTGGGCTAACTTCAAAATTATAGAATTTCCAGCGGGCACGGTTTTTTGACTATAAATGCTTATATCTATATACAAATCGTTAGTTCTTCGTTAGTTCTCGATAGTTCTCCAATATTTACGTTAGTTCTCAAAAATAAAAAAAGTTACGAGGTATACAAAGTGGGTACGCTAACTTCAACTATACAATTTCCAGCGGGCACAGTTTTCTGACTATAAATTCTTATATCTATATACCAATCGTTAGTTCTTCGTTAGTTCTCGATAGTTCTCCAATATTTTCGTTAGTTCTCAAAAATAAAAAAGTTACGAGGCATACAAAGTGGGTAAGCTAACTTCACAATTATAGAATTTCCAGCGGACACAGTTTTCTGAATAAAAATGCTTATATCTATATATCAATTGTTAGTTCTTCATTAGTTCTCAATAGTTCTCTAATATTGATGTTAGATCTCTAAAAAACAAAAAGGTTATAAGGAATACAAACTGGGTACTCTAACTTCACAATTATAGAATTTCCAGTGGACACAGTTTTCTGACTATAAATGCCTATATCTATATAATAGTCGTTAGTTTAGAAGTCACGGATAACCTCGTTAGGGGTGAGGTAGACACTGTAGTAGGTCACGTCCTTCGACTGAACCCAACAAAAATCAACGGCCCTTTCCATGACCCCTCACTTGCATTTGAGCTGTATTACGCACCCAGAAAGCAGCAGTATCAAGACTATCGGGGAACCGAAACGGTGGGACCCTATTCCGGTACTGGTACTGTTCGCTGACTAAGAGCGTGTCGACACCTTGTTCAAGTGCAAGCTGACTGAGAAGCGTGTCAGCTGTCCTGGATCGCCCAAGATTGCATTAAAGTATTCTTATTTTCGTGGGTGAGCTTTTGCTTGCTGGAGCGCAGTTTTAAAAGCACTGCACTGCCCAGACCCAGCTATATGTTTTGTCCGCGAGCCCATATCCTTACAAAGAAAGGAAGACTTGACTTGGCAGTCCCTACGAGCGTGACCCACTCCTCCGCACCGGAGGCAGTACCTGCCTCGGTCGGGCCCTTTGCAGTTTCCGCTGCTGGCTTCAATTTTTGGTTTTGTCAAAACCTAAGAACAGTCGATCTTCATTTTTCAGGCAAGTTCAGGGACTTCTTCCTTTAGGGCCTCAACTACCACTTTGTTTACAGCTTTCTGGGTCCGAAAGCTGTCCAGCATAGCTTTTAATTGTCTCCTCCATGTATCGAAGCCGAGTTTCGATGCTACTCTCTGCGTCAAGATATTCCTGACGCAGAAGCACCATCCCTGAACTCACCGACTACAACTTTGGTGTAAGGGGTTCCTCCGAAGCCCTTCACCAGAATTAAATGCTGGCACCGGTAGGGGGGAGACAGACGCTCCCTTTACCAGCCAAGGTGCCAACAATATATTTTGCACCGTCAAAGGGGTTGACCTATAGAAACACGCACGGGGCCCAGCCTCCGTTTGCCTAATACCGAGAATTCTGACGTACTGGGGATCGCCCGTGGCAGTGCAGAGCCCAATCTCTGCACCCATGCCGCACGCCCTGACTAGGGCCCGAAGCGGCTGGTTCCTGACGACTCACACCAGAGAGGTCCCATCGGCAGTGTAAAGCACAAAACAGCCTTTTTGCACAGAAAGGGCACTCCCAAGGCTCAATAGTGCGCGCCGGTTGAAAAAGAAGAAAGAAAACACCCGAAACGGGGTAAAAAAAGAAGAGTAAAAGGAAAGATGAAAGGTTTCGATGCCCGAGCCAAAGGTAAGAAGCAAATTTGGCCTCAGAGAAAGTTGGGAGCATAAAGAGAAGGATCTCCCACCCCTTGTTAGTCGCCTTTTACGACAAGCCGAGGGAGGTTGTGGTCCTATTCTAATCCGGATGAGGCACCGCACGGATATTGACCCTATCAAGCAACTGTAAATTTCAAGCTTTGGATGTGCAGAGAAAGTTGGAAGCATTCGACCTGAACAAAAGGGGCCGTCCCAGATGACATCCAGCCTGCTGTACTGAAGTATTGCGCCCCTGTTCTCGCACCCAAACTCCAAATTTTATTTGTAAAACTACTCACAGAGGCAACGTTCCTATTTTTAAATCTGGTTGCAAAATTCATTTCATGAACTATAGACCAATTGCCATTCCTTCCGCCCTGTTCAACAATTTTTAAAGTCTTAAACTTGACTGTTTTGAGCTTTCAACTTGGCAAATATATCGCTCCAGAACAAACATGGCTTCATCCAGGGTCACCCCTCTTGCACAAACCTCCTAGTTTTCCAAAATACAACCATGTCAGCGTTTACTCAGCACTGAGCATTCCCAAGTAGATTGTGTCCATCTGGAGTTCAGCAAAGCCTTCGACTGAATATAACATCGTATATGTTGATTGTTAAACTTGAGGGCTATGGCACCTGGGGCCTGCCACTTTCCTTGGTGAAAAGTTACTTCACGGACCACATCCCCATTGTTATAGATGTGATGGAGAGCCTCGTCCCTTCTTTGCCAATTCTCAGACCACTGCTGTTCCGTTCATCAACGACATCTTCCCAGAAAGTTTCTCTTATTTGCTGATGACATTAAGATGTTCAACAAAGTAGCCTCGACACTTAGAAAATTCTAACATTCGATCTCAACATCAGCAAATGGTGCATGGAGTTATCAGCCCACAAATTATACCCTTAACCACGGAATCTCCAGATACTGCTGAGATTTAGCGAAGATGTCTGCCCACGCCCATACCTAGACTTCTTTGAGCCATCACCAGCATATTTCAAGCGTATTGTCCAGAGGCTGCTCTTCTGACACCTTGCCGCTCTCTCGTGCTGGATGTTCGGTTACTTGTTGGTGCCTTCAAAAAGCCACACGCTCGATGGTGGGTAGTGCCATTGATAAAACATAGTCCCTTAGGTAGTGCCATGTCGTCTGCCCTCTGCCGTGTCCCGTGGTGGGATTTGCGGTTTTGTGGTTCATGGTGGCTTGGTCTTGGTGGCGCTTTTAAGGGGCCACGCATGACGCTGGAAATGTTGTTATTGCGTGTTGGCATTTTACAAAAATATTTTTTCGAAATCCATACTGTTTTTGTTTTCATATGTAACGTTGGCTTTCGTCATATTTCATCAAGGTTACCTTTGACATAGTTTGTTGTTTATAGTCAAATTTTATTGTAGTTTAATCTATTTACATTGTTGTTCTAGGCTATATCTGTTGTCAATTATTGTAGGTAGTCAAGTATTGAGTTGTTGTTCACACTGTTGTTAATTTATATTGTCGTTATTATATAGTGTTATCAATTTACATTGCTCTAATTTATAATGTCACTTCACAATATGCAAAGCACTATCATTGTATTGTAGTGTCATCATAAAGTCAGCTTCTTACGCATATTATGGTTTCTTCTGCATCTTGTCGCATGTATGCCACAAAAAATAACACAAAATAATGTGATTTATTTAAATGATGTGTTTTTATGTATGTATGCCATATCTTGCATTTTTTGTAAAATTGTGGTTGCCGTTAAAATAAAATAAATAAATTCTAGCTAGGTACGTATGGTTCAATCATTGATTATGTGGAAGACATATAATCAATGGTACAATTTGAAATGGAATACAATTATTGCAATTGTTTTTATTTAGTTTATCTGGACAAATTAAACCAACTACTTTAAATTGTATACATGTTATTCATAATATTTTATACGCATCTCTGTATTTTCTCTAAAGAAATGTACACAATTTTACGTGATTGGAAGATACAGCCGTTTTGTGTTAACAAAATGGAACGAGTGAAGTGATTTTTTATAGTACATTGCACTGCCTTTCATTTGGTACTTATAAGGTTTAATTTGTTTTTTGAGCTAACCTATGAATTTGTTTGTAAGACGATAGTGGTTGGTTAGCATTCTATCAGCTCGATCTTTATGTTAAAGTTAAACAATGACTGTGAAAATATTTATAGTTTATTATTTTTACAACGAAACTTGTGCCTCGTGATGTAAATTATGTTTTTTAGTTTTGGTTCTCAAGTTAAAGTGTTTTGGTGACGATATATTTTCGTTCCTTTATCCTTTAGTATGAATTCTATTCTAGCTGCTCTAAATCCTACACCTCAGGATATCGATATGTCTTTATCCCGCACACGTTCTCTGATGAGTAATATCAACGGAGCATCAACAAGTGCTCCAAATGAATCTTATCTTCTGCAAGTTCAGGTTCAAGAAAATAGTAATCATTTGCCACCCTTGAAAACTGGCCAAACCTTGGAGGAAGCTTCCATCAATGGACATAACTTACAGCAACAGCAAAACAAGTCTGCTAAACAAACCACTAGTAGTAACATTAGTAGTGCAGGTAGCATACCCAATCAAGTTTTACCAGCAGTCATTCCACAGTCAGATTTGGGACTTTTCACCCCACATAGTCCCAATCAAACAAAGAATGGCTCTACCAAACCTAAGGCTATGGTAGCCACTCCGGACCAGGTTGTAAAACTTTATTTCAGTAAACTAACACCATATGAAGTGCATGAAATATTTACCTATCCCGAAATTTATTTCATTGGTGCAAATGCAAAAAAGAGACCCGGAATCGCAAGTGCTCCATTCAACTGTGGATTTGATAATGAACAAGGTTCATATATTCATATTCCTCATGATCATGTGGGGTACAGGTATGAAGTGTTAAAAGTGATTGGAAAAGGAAGCTTTGGGCAGGTTGTTAAAGCATATGATCACAAATTTCATGAGCATGTGGCGCTGAAAATGGTTAGAAATGAAAAAAGGTTTCATCGTCAAGCTCAAGAGGAAATCAGGATTCTAGATCATCTGAGAAAGCAAGACAAAGATAATACAATGAACATAATTCATATGTACAATAGTTTTACTTTCAGGAGTCACATGTGCATTACCTTCGAACTCCTATCAATCAACCTCTATGAACTCATAAAAAAGAACAAGTTTCAAGGTTTCAGCCTTACTTTGGTGCGCAAATTTTCACACTCCCTTCTGCAGTGCTTAAATGCACTTCACAGAAACAAAATCATTCATTGTGATATGAAACCGGAGAATGTCCTCTTAAAGCAACAAGGAAGAAGTGGAATCAAGGTAGGCTACACTGTGTATTAAGTCTTTGTTTTATCATGGTTTTTTTCTGAGACTGGAAGGCTCTAAGCTCTAAGAAAGAAAATTTGTGGGAGTTTTTCTAGGCTTATTAGACAAAACTTGACCAACTTAACTAACTTAAGTTAAGTTAGCCCATTTCTTATCTTGTAGAACCAGCAATTAATTTTTTCAGCTAAACCTTGCCTTAGCCGGGGCTTAAGTTAAACCTTTCCAACACCTCTTTTTATAAGAGCCATTATCTACTTTAAGTTATTTGTAATTGGGAATCTAATTCATCCAGACAACTTTAAAAGCCCAATTAATTAAATAAAGGTGCTAAATGTCCCTGAATTTGGTCGGCTTTGTGGAGTTTGTAATTTCGAGTTCCTTTCACCTTGTGGAAATTTAGTTGCATATAATCTTTACTTAGCATTCGTTCAATAATTGCCTGGAAGTTTTCAGTAACGTTACAAAAACTTACAGGACTTTGGAAATCTGTTTTATTTAACTTGTGTCTAGACATTTACCTTAATTACCCTAACTACCTCCTCCTTGACCGAGACCAGCAGAGCCGGATAGGTTGCATCAATTTTCTATTTACATTACAGTATATACATAACTTCCATGGATTGAAGTATGAACTATATTAAAAGTACTTTGGCGGTGGATGATTTTGCCGCAGGCTTATTGACTTAAAGTTTCTCTTTTTGAACGACATGCTTTTAGGCGAGGTGTTATTATTGACGTAGATTTTTGTGGGCTTCACTCACCTTTATTTTTGTTTGTGATGTCCGGGACTCGTCAAAACACATAAACACACATATATACAACACAAAATCGTCCACGGCATTGATGCATTGGTTTTTGATTGACGTAGGCAGGTGGTTGTAAATCTTCAGGGCAAGCATTGGGAAAGAGTTTTTGGTTTTAGACAGCCGGCAGAAAGGTATGTCCAATGTTTGGAGCGATGTCTTGTACCATGGCTATGAACAGTATTTCTTGTAGGGAATTTAAATGTAGGTTTGCCTTCACATGGTCGGCTGACAAAAAAATGTAATGACTGACAATAGTTAAAATACCGGTGCTGACAAACAGAGGTTTGCAATGGTCATTTCTTTTACTAGAAGTTAAAATACGTACTGCTTTCTTCTGCAATTTGAGAATTTCATGACATGATGGTGCATGGCTCCAGAGAAGGAGACCATACCTTAAAATACTATGAAACAGAGCGTGGTACACTATAATCAAATAAGGTTTACTGACAAGCCTAGTCAACTTCTGAAGTAGATGAACCAACCTGGACAGTCTTTTACCAACCGATTGAGTGTGTTTATCCCAAGATGTCTGATTATCTTTGCAAAAATGTACATTGGGTAAACTAACGTTCAGTAAGTTAGTGTCGTTCATTAAGCTAGACTATAAATAGGCCTAAATCATAGGCCCATTTATATATTGAGGGTTGAAGTTAAGGGTAGGCTGGAATCAAATATGAAACTAATTTGCTTACAAACAACAATTCTATAAATCATGCCCTAGGCCTACATAGGCTAATATAGTTGCCTAGCCTAACTTATGTCTTCTTGTTACAAGTACTTAGGCTACTTACTCCTCGACACTATCTCTCCTTCTTCAGAAGCAAAATTCCTCGGTCTATATTCATGCTGAGAGTTCTTATCCAAACAGATACCGCTGATGTCTTGTTATCAGCCTATAAAACAACTCATCTAGGCCTAACAACTCATAAAACAACTTTCGCTTGTTTACCCTCATCTGACTTATGCTGTTCCTGCTTGGGGATGCGAAAGTGAGAGGACTAGATTCTTGTTTAGGCTTCAGAGAAGAGCAAACCGAACTGTGTTTTCCATTCCCAAACAACAATTATGCAGAAGATTATTTCAGAGCATTTAAATGTTAACCTTCCCATCTATTTACATCCTTGAAACTCCTCTTTCCACAACAAAAATACTTCGTTTTCTCATCTGCAATAAACTCCACGTATCCATTTCGCAATAGGTACTTAAAATCAACCAATCCCTCGACATTCCACTTCTTTCTTTCAAAGAAACTTTCATTACAATTCCGTAAAACTAGGTATTTAATAATCTTCCACCTCGACTGAAGGCCGTAAAAGATTTAAAAAAGCGTAGAACAGGTCTAAAGTCCATATTGCTAGATACATCATTCTATAGCGTCCGTGAATACTTACTTTAGTGGTCATTCACAATGTCATGTGCACATGTTTAGTTTATTTAGTTATATAGCTATTTATAGTAAGAAATTTGGTTGCATTAAGATGAACTTAATTTATTTTTTGCTGTATTGACTTGGCTAATGCACGTTATTGTCAGTCTGGCCCAATAAATAAATTATTGACTTATTGTGCATAGTTGCAAACACTAAATGCTATGAGTAGACAACAAGCAAGATAACATAGAAAACAATTCGTTTTCATTAGTGCAGTTGTCTGAACATTGTCTATGTGGGATATTTTGGGTAGGGATATTGTTTTACTTTTACGGTCATAGGCCTACTTATTTTTTACAGAGATACTTTTTTGCTTACATAATATAGTACTAGACCTACATAGACATGTAAAACCATAACTGTAACATTCCCATATTATGTTAATATAATCATCATCCCAGATTCTCCATGTGGTTTCTGCATGTCAAACGCTCTCACGTTTATCTGTTTGTTACATGTTACTGTGTTCTTTATCTACTTAGTTGAGCTTAGGCCTAATCACTAAACATCACCAACACGAAACAAGCATAAAAACGGACTTCAAAGTTTACAGTAGTAGCCTATCATAAATATAGCTACTTTATATTTTCAAGACAACTGTTTAGCAGAAAATAACAGACCATTTTAAGGCCTAATACCTTTTAAAACAAATTTATCGTGAATAATTTTACCTCCATCTATACTTAAAATTAATGTATGTTTTCTATCTAAATTCATTATATACATAGTATTTTTTATTATTAGGGCCTACTTAGGCCTAGGCCTAATTATTACTTTTTCCTATGAACAAACTTTTTGTTGATTTTGGAAACTATATTTTTTTTTGTAAAAAATAGTCCAAAAAGATATTTAAACACTACTTTTGACTACATTGATTTGTATTTACTCATTGTTATTTATGCCTAGGTATGAATTATCGGTTTGATAATAGGTTTGTTTATCCGGCCATAGGCGGTCGATGATGCCTCAGTCCTGTGGTGGCCGTATATGAGGGGTTCTACTGTATTGGACACATTTATTCAAATTTGTGTTGTGGCTAAGTAAGTTAATAACATTTTCATTGTCAGATTCGTTGAGCTGATTCCATGTACATCACACAAAGATGTTTTAGGCTCTTTAATTCTTAAGTTGCATTCAAACTGAAAGTTTAAAATGGTCTGGCTCTAACATTGGTGTTCCTTACATTAAGGCAAAGTAGTTTCCCCATTATTTCAACAGCTATTGGGGGACCGAGCCCCTGGCCAGATAACATTTTGGCCGTATAAGCCAACCTATTATTAAAACGATAATTTGTATCTAATAACATTCGTGATTTGTTAAATAGTGTTTAATTCTCTTTATGGAATCTACAAGCTCAACTGAGTCGTGAAACTGGTAAAAATGTAGGCCTAGGCCTATATGAACAGGAAACAGATAAAACCGTCAGAACGCTCAAATAATGGAGACTACGTGTACAGCCGTGAGAAATATTTTTTGTATCGATTCTAGGAAGTGACCGGATAAACTGAGGACCAAAAATTCCAAGGCTGGATATTAGGGGTTATACTGTATAACTGACAATGATCTTTTTTTGACAATTTTAAGCACTTATGTTTGCTTAAGCTAGTTCTCCCCGATCATATAGCAATGAATAAATACCTTCAAGACAAATAACATATTAATTAAAATTACTTTCACTAACTCAGACTTTGAATAATCGGGAACTCCCATGAGCCTAGATATTGACGAGGGTTTACTGTATGTAATTTAAGTGAAAAATGCTAATGTCTATTCATGGGTATTTTATATTTTGACATTGTAATTTAATTTGAGTACTAATTGAAAACATGTTTTAATTTCCCTTAGTACAGATCTTAGTTATTGTTTCACCAACTATATTTTTCTGTTGTAGGTGATAGACTTTGGATCAAGCTGTTACGAGAATCAGCGAGTGTACACCTATATCCAGTCTCGGTTCTATCGCGCACCAGAAGTGATCTTGGGAGCTCGGTACGGAATGCCAATAGACATGTGGAGTCTTGGATGTATCTTAGCTGAGCTCTTGACGGGATTCCCATTGTTACCGGGTGAAGACGAAGCCGATCAGCTGGCCTGCATCATCGAACTGCTTGGCATGCCACCACAGAAACTACTGGACAATTCAAAACGAGCTAAACACTTCATAAGTTCTAAGGGTATGTCTATTTTTGCTAGAATTGTTAAAAATATACATACAATAGAATATTAATTCTCTTATATTATCTATGTAAGGCTGTGGTTTGCTAGACGTGTAATAAATGCACTGTGACTTAAAAACACTTGTGTCCTAGTCGTTGGTAGAACACAGCAGAATTTTTTTTATTGGTTTCTGACTGCGTAAGCTGTGATCCGAATTGTACAAAAGAAGAGAACTTGAGGGGGGTACTAAGTTTTTAGACATGTGCTAGACAGTTCTATAAATTCAAAGATTACTTCTGACTAACTAGTAATTATGCAACAGTTTTATACAATCTTAGCTGTTACTCATATGCTTAGCTCAACATGGCTTTGTGTTTTATTAAACTACTTACTTACCTAGCCTACTTACTTACTGGAGTTGGCACTGGTACCTTAAGAGGTACTTGGCCTCGCCCACGCACTGCCTCCAGGTGTCTCTTGAGCTTCATCTTTACTTCTTCCCAATCTTCTAAATATCTTTTTGAAATTGATCCCTCCATCTTAGCTTAGGCCATTCTGATGGTCTTCTGCCTTCGAGGTATCTATCAGGTATGTTCCTCACTGTAGAGTTTTCCTCTCTTCTTATAGCATGTCCAAACCATCTGAACCATCTACTATTGTCCTCCGCTACGATGTCTGGGTCTTTGTAGCGCTCCCTAATCTCGCTTGTTATGTCTTATCCTCCATACTCCATCCTCGATCATCGGGCAAAATATCTTTCTAAGGACTTTGTTTTCAAATATTATTTTCTGTTCTGTCTTTTTGCTCACTACCCACGTTTCTGATCCATATAGTATAACCGGTCTTAATATTGTTTTGTAAATACGTAAATTGGTATTGTGGAATAGTATTTTTGAGCTTAACAATTTGTTACATGCATAAAGGGCTCTGTTAGCTGAATTTAACCTGTTTATTGTTTCTAATTAGTTCATTTTTATCATCTGTAATAGTACTCATAAATACTGTTTACATTTTGAAAAGATTGGTCTTCTATCTGCAAGATATCATCTTCATCATCATCTGCTTCTTGGACATCTCATTTTCCGCACTTCCTGAATTTTGTTTTGGTGTCATTAATTTTTAGGCCTTCTTTTCCTGTTTCTTCAATTAATATTTTAACTAATTCTCTAAGGTCATCCTTCTTATTTGCCATTATGACCAGTTCCGTTATTAAACTACTACTATCTACTATACTATAAACCCACTGAAGCCGTCACTTCACTACGGGCTATTAGCTTTTGCATTCATTTACATTATTACATTATTAGAAGTTGTGGAAGAGATTGTAGGAAAAGGAAGCAACACATCATTGCGAAAAAAATAAATATAATATTTTGTTTTATGAGCAAAAATGTAAACAAAACATCTGATCAGCTGTTATGATCTAATCTTTGTTAAAATTTATTGAGAATTGGCTGATTACGCAGTTTATCATCAGTGGTGTAGCCAGGTTTGGAGCAGAAATTGCTTAACCGTCCCAAACATCAATCACCATACATATATGTATTGTAAATTTCTTGGTCTTTGCAGACGTTTGTCATTAAAACATCAAATTAATTTTTCGATTCACTACAAATTACAAATTACATAATAGTATAGTTACCCTAGTTCATATATATCCGCGCTCTATGTTGCCATCTTCAGACCGAATCTAAAAATACTGAGATACAGTCTGAAGATTGAGTTCCAAAATATACTGTATACAGTACATCTATATTATTATTATGTAATTTGTAACTGATTTGAAATGTATAGGCCTACTGATGTGCTGATGTGTGTGTGCTGTGTGATATACTGATGTGTTGTATGTATACTTCAAAATCAAAAATAAAAATTTTTATTGGGCTATTCAACATTTAAGTAATAGGCTAGGTCACAAAATTAACAAATAGCGATCCTCTTGGGTCCTCTTGACGCACAATAAATAGTCAGTCCAAGTTAATAAAAAAGAAAAACAACACCATGCAGAAAACAATAAAATAAGTAAAAATAAATAAGTAAAAAAGATTGATACCAAACACAACATGCAAGAACAGGCTGCCATATTACACTTTATTCAAGTCCAATCATCATTGGTGAGACTCAAAACCATGATGAAGAAGTATCAAGCAAGTTACAGACTGAGGCTGAAACTGAGCCTGAGGCCTGACTGAGGCTGAGCTGAGACTTGGGATGAGGCTGTCACCCAGTCTGAATGACTTGAAAAAAGAGTTGTATCATCAGCATAAAATAGAACATTGCCTGATACCTTGTAGTATACATAATTTATGGCTCCAATAAACAAGAAAAGGCCAAGTATTGAACCTTGAGACACTCCATGAATTACATTTGAAGAGAATGAAAAACGACCATTTCAATCTACTACCTGCAGTCTGACACAAATGATTTTAATAGATTCAAGGCAGTTCCTCTGATCCCATATCTCTCAAGCTTTTCAGCCAAAATTTTATGAGAAACGCAGTCAAATGTGAGTGAAAGATCACATAGGAGAACCGATATGGAACACTTCTGCTCAAAGGAACCCAAAACGACCTGGAGGAGGGAGTCCACTGCCGAAATAGTGGTTCTGCCCCTCCTAAAGCTGTACTGTGCCTGAACTAAGAGACGGCAAGTCTGGAAGTAGACACACAGCTGCTCCAACATTACTGATTCAAGAACCTTTGCAAACACAGGTATGAGAGATATGGGCCAGTAACTAGATAAAATACTTTATACTTTTCAGTGATATGGCGACCATACAAAGTAGGTATACAGGGTGGTAAAAAAGTCCCTGGACAGTTAAATATTTTAAAAAATAATGCAGATAGAGCTACAATACTTGGTACAAAGTTACAGGGCATAAAACTCTATTTTAACACATATTCAGTGATCCAATAACTCTTCAGGGGGACGGCCCACAAGGAGTCGGAAGAAAATCTTAAATAGAAGCATAGGTCAATATGTACATCAAATTAAAGGTCTTTTTTAGTAGAATACAATGCCGCAAACCGCACTTCAAAAAGTTGTTCCTGCGCAAAATGGCAGATGTTCAAAGATTTCTTGAATCCGCCATTTTGAATCTTTGAACGACTGTCATTTTTTACTCAGGCATTCTTTTGAGCTTTAATTTACGGCATCGTAATCTACTAGTGAAGACCTTTAATTTGATGTGCATATCGACCTATGCTTACGTTAAAAATTTTCTTCCGATTCCTAAGGCTGTGCCCCCTGAGGAGTAAGCGTATAATAGCAATGTAAATTAAATGAATCTTTGAACAACTGTCATTTTGCGCAGGATCAACCTTTTGAAGTGCGGTTTGCGACATTGTATTCTACTAAAAAAGACCTTTAATTTGATGTGCATATTGACCTATGCTTCTATTTAAGATTTTCTTCCGACTCCTTGTGGGCCGTCCCCCTGAAGAGTTATTGGATCACTGAATATGTGTTAAAATAGAGTTTTATGCCCTGTAACTTTGTACCAAGTACTGTAGCTCTATCTGCATTATTTTTTAAAATATTTAACTGTCCAGGGACTTTTTTACCACCCTGTATTAAGTATGAATGGAAATGAGTGGCGCGATCTTGTATTCTTGTTGTTGTTGTTGACTAAGGCCGACATATTCCTTAGACAAAGCAGTTAACTAATAGCCCATACAGCTAATGGCAACTAAGGGACTTAGTTGATTGATAGAAACTATTGACTATACTTTGTCAATAGGGCCTAAAAGAATTATTCCGACAAAGATTTTACAAACAGCTGTTACTGTACTGTCATTTAGATGCAATACGTTTTACTCTGCCAACAAAGTAATACATTCTTATTTTATTACTTGAATTTTTTAACATTTATGTCGATAAAGGGCTATGTTTGTTGTGAAATAACACAATGATAAAAACAAGCTAATGGTAATAATAATATGATAATATATTTATGTTAATCAAGCCTATTTTCTTCAGTGAAACCTGAAGACTACTTTTATAGCTAGAAAAATTTAGTCTACAGCTGATATCCTCAAACTTATCTGATTTACTTATGTCAAAGGGAGACAAAAACTAATCATCTCTGTCCCCACAATGCAAATACAGTATTGCAGTACGGTGCTGCAGAATGACGAGGATCATCACCCGACCCCAGAGAAAATCGTTTTACAAAATCTCAATAATAATATTTAAATTTTTTAGAAACTAAAATTTATGAATACAGATATAAATATATATTTTTATAATCTTTTAACCCTCTGAGTGTTATTTGTCGCACTTTGTGTAGTGTTTTGTGTCGCTGCAGCGACTCACAAACACTGTTTACGGCAAAGGCTCTATGACTGACAAAATCGGATTGAACTGGATCGAGTTAGGTATCGTTTTATTTGACAGATTCAGAGCTTTCTCCGGAGGTCTGTCTCTAAGCGCTATTCATTTTAGTTCCGAAAATATTGTAGCAGACAGCTGACGTGCGTATTTGTAAACAGCTTGGTTAGACTCGGACCGATGACTGATGTGTTTTATTACGTTTATCATTGTTTTAGTGTTAAAAATCAAAAGTAGTGATATACATCATAAAGTGCACATAAAGTGGTGCATTACAAGAAGATTTAAGTGATTTTGAAGGGCTGGTTGATGATCCTGAGGAAGTAGGTAGTGATATTGATGTAAATTATCAGATTCCTAGTTATGGTTAGGCTATGCATTCTTAGCTAAACGCTATGTACTGAAATCTGTTTTTTGCCCATAACTTATTTATTTGCAAATCTACTTCCTTATATTATTATATATTTGTAATCCTCATAAAATTTAGAACAAAGTGGCTATTTTCAAATATTTATAGGCCTATAATTTATACAATTTCATTGAGCGCAAACTTATTTTTTTTTTGAAAATTTTCCAAAAATTTTTTTTTACCTAAAAATTTTTTGAAACAAATATTCCATATGTTCTATGTATAATATTGAAGGCCATGATTTTCCAAACAAAATGGTATATAGAACAGTATAATTAACATTGTTTTCAAGCTTCTCAGATCCGTTTTAATAAAACCTTGCAAATGAGCAAAAAATAGGCAGACATTAAGGCCAAAACAAGGGACACTCAGAGGGTTAAGGTTTTGTTTCGATTTGAGCAGTATATTTCTGTTTTATAAACAGATTTTTTTTTTCAAATGATGGTTTGTTTAGTAATTAAAAAGATTTTAAACAATTTATTCAATTGCATTACTAATGTAACTAGCCACTTACTAAACAAGACTGGTCAAATGTGTGAACTGTGTAATTCATGGGACAAGCGAAACCCCAGCAGACTATGCGCCAAATGATAAAATGGCTTCACGGAAGGAGGCTGCTCGTTTATCTGAATAGCAGCCTATTGTTACTAGGTTAGTGTTTCTTGGTCGGGATTCTAAACCTAAAAAGTGTGGTATTCACCATGTCTACAGAAGAAGGGCCTGTTTAGGGACCTAGGACAAGATTATATTATCAATGACATTCTTGAAATCCTTGTAGCCGTCTTTGTCCATTCTGTTCTTGGTATTTTTGAGGTCAAGTTAAATCCTGTCTAAGGTCATTCGCCCGTGACGATATGACTTGTTCCCCTGAAACTGGACCGGACCATCCGGCGGCTGATTCAACCAAAGCCGAACTAGAGGGAGTCTACTGTATGCAGGAAACCCCCTCACGCACGCTTCATAGGTTATTCTGCATATGCACATGGAACAGTAGCTTTAGTGAACCTGAATCTTTAATATTATATAACTTTTGTTATGAGCTGGGTAGCTGTTCAATGAGAGGACCAGATTGTATTCACAGTACTGAATCTTTTATTGTCTTTAAGCAATCAAATATCCTATACAACACAGTAACAGTTATTTCCAAATAGCCCACTAATAAATACCTGGTAGGAACCATTCTGGAGGCAGCTATAACTTCCGACTGAAATTAAACTGAACTTCCCCATGCGAAATCTAGCGACTGAAGGGCCTAACCCAAGACAGAGAAACCAGTACTCACCCAACTCTTCTGGGCACCTTGCCCTGGGCGACTGACCCCTTTCTGTACCTCAGGTGGCCTATTTATTGATCCGATAGCTACTGAGTGCAAAGCCCTCAGTGTTTATAAAACACCTCCAGCACGCTTCACAGCAAGCAAGGCCTGACCACAGGTCATCAACCTAGCTTGCCTAGGCTACCCTCCTTTACGTAACTAAGTAAAATTTCTTTTCCTATAGCAGCATAATATTTTCTTCAGTGCTATTTTACTGTTTTACTTTACATTGTGCAGTATCAAATGCTTTTCTATAAATGCAGTAAACAACAAACAGTACACAACAAAAAATGGCTGTTTATTTTTATTGAATTGTAATCCATAGCCATAGGAGATTGTCTTCTGTGTAGATAGGCTAGTATCAAATGATAAGGCTTATTTATGAATCAACAAAAACAATGTTTTTCATTAAAATCATAAATCATGTATTATTATCAATGGAGATTTACAGTACCGGTACTACAGTCCTACGTTTAAAAAGTACCACGTTACAGTACTACGTTAACAAAAGGTAATCTCTGTTTGTGGAGTTTTTAAGTCAGCAGTTAAAGTTACATAGTTTATTTTGTCGCCTCAATAGTTTTCAAACATAGTAACCTCATATTAATGGTTTAGTAGCCTATATTTTGTTCCTACCAAAAAAAGGTTTTTATTTTTTAAATCATACCAACTGTATGTACTAGCTATTTGTGTATTAAAAGGGATACTTCATTGCCACTCGAGAACTGTAGATGATATTTCAAAAGCGGCAATGACTGTTTGTGCTTGTAATACACACCAGTTTTTTGCTACCACCATAATTAACTCATAACACACAGATTAATTTTTTAGTTGTATGTAATATGTAATTTAGGCTATGTTATTTTCTTACCGGTTGTTAGTGTCTTATAGAAACCCCAATTGTGAAGTCAGCTGATTTAGTGAGTAGCAATAATCATTCCCGCTCTAGAGCAGAAGTAAGCTAATATGCGTAATGTTTAAAAGTGTGGTAATATGATCATGTACAATTTGTGTGCATAGTGTCTTTTTTAAACTCAATCAATATTGACGCACGTTTAAAAAGTGCCACTTTGCTCACTAGCCCAAATAACTATAGCCTACTTCAAGAAATGCGTCTGTATTTAAATAGAACACTACTTATTTTATATTCCAAAGACTTAAAAGCTTCTGAAATTTTTTAAGTTGGAGATTTTTTACCATCCCTTGTTTTTTGTAGGTTACCCCCGCTACTGCACTGCCCTGACTCTGCCTGATGGCAAGACAGTACTCAATGGTGGTCAGTCACGGAGAGGCAAACACCGCGGCACACCAGGCTCCAAGTCCCTCTCTTCAGCCCTCAAGGGCTGCGACGATCCGCTGTTCTTGGACTTTGTCAGCAGATGTTTGGAATGGGATCCAGATCTGCGTATGACTCCCAGTGCAGCTCTTCGTCATGCTTGGCTGCGCCGCAGACTGCCGCGTCCCCCCGCCAGTGACTCTGCATCCCTCGGTCTGCGCACACCTGGCCCCCGCAACAACACCCTCACTTCTGTCAACAAGACTCGTGCAGTGCTCTCTGATGATCGAGCTAACACTATACATTCCCGACACTCCCAATCATTTTTCTCGGGAAAGTTCCCCCAGCTCTCTAGCAACGCCTTACCCCCCACGTAGCGGTCCCCCGCCCCTGTGAATACGTTGCCTTAGAGTGATATAGACCACATTGATCTCGATGACCCAATTGTCTGATTTAGTTTTAAATTACGATCCTAGTGTGTATTAACTGTTGACAGTCGTACTTTTTATTTGTCAACGATGTGTAACTTAATAGTGTAATTTTATAAAGAGCTTTCGAGAGAGGATGTATTGTAAAATAATTAGATATGCTAAATATATGTTGGAAACTCTGTAATACTGAGTTCGGACACTGTCTAAATATGTAAAATATGAGTTTAGCCTTTAGAAGCCATCAGCTTTAGGACACTGAGGTTGCTAAACAGGCCTGGCTCTAGGGCAAAGAGGGCAAAAGCCATGTTTCAATCAGAAATTCTCTCTACCAGATGTCTTTGTGTAGTGTTCCTCCATCCGCGGTCTCTAATTATATCATCTCTATAGTTTCTTTTAGCGAATTTCCCTATAGGGAAGTAGCTATTACCGTTAGTGGCACGGTAAGACCTAGGCCTAGGACCGATTTACTTTTTCTTTTTGATGTCCCCAGAGGCCATAAACACCATTCGTTCAAATTTTTATATATATATCCGTGAATGCGATAACTTGAGTAATTTTTGTCCGATTTTGATGAAATTTGGTTTAAAGATGTAAGGCCGGATAAACTTAGATGAGTTCGCGTACCAGCATGATTGGACCATGGGAACGGGGTTTTACGGGGGATTTTATGGGTTAAAAAATGGTTGACACTCAAAACACAAAATTTCCTGATTTATCTTTAGACCTTATTAAGAAGCTTAAAAAACAAATAATTTAGTCCCTATATCAAAGTGCTTTTGTACGGTTATTGGTAACAGAGAAAGTTCAAAAAATTGTAAATTTAAAATTCCAATGTTATTCTCATGGAGAATATTGTAAAATGTCGTAGTTTGCTTGTTTATGGATATATTTTGATCAAACTTGGCAAATTTATTTATTTTATACTACGCTATTAATATTTTGCTAAAATACACTTTATTAGTTTCAGTTTCCTTGTAGGAGCAAATCTGGGTACTCGTTAAACCTAATGTTATTTAAATAGATTTAATTGAAAACCAATCAGAGAAATGGAAATTCGCTTAGTCGGCAGGTTTGCTGCGGCGGGGGTATTTTTAATCCAAGACAATAACTATACATCTCATTAACTTTGGGATTGTAGGGATATAAATTGTTTATTTAGCAGCCAATGAAAATTGAGTTTTCAAAACTCATTAAAATATCCTTAGTTACACACAAAAAGCATTTAACTTTAATACAATTACTTCAATTCAAATCAATTAAAACAAATTGAGAGCATAGGTCTGATCTCATGAACAGATAGATGCTAACAAATGAAACACACAACAATGATACATTTAACTATTCAATCTCGGAGGTTTACATTCACAGTTGACCTTCACAAGTACTTCTGAAATCCACTATGCTATGGAGTGATTTGGTGAGAGGCAAATGAACATGTTTGGGTTTTGATACAAGTGTGAGATTTGCCTGGAAAGTGAACCAACCAGAGCCGGGCCTGTTGCTAAATACTGCCCTATTTTTGTGCTCGTTTGTTTTTTTACATTTTGAGATTTGCAGAGGATCTTGGTTTAAAATAATATTTTAGATCATATTTTAATGATCTATTAAGCGTTAAAAAGTACTGCATAAAATTTAAAATTTAACTAATTACAAAAAAGGTTAGTGAAAAGTGGCATTTGAGATTTTACACTTTATATTTCCAGAGGAAATGAATACTTTTTGACTGTTCTTAATTTTCAATATTGTTTGAAATATTGTGTTCATGTTGTTAAGGACGATGATTCCTCAATTTTCTATTGTTGGTTTACATTTTAAGATTTAATGCTTTTTCAGTCAACCTTTAAGCAATTATGTACACAACCTAGTTTTGTTCCTAATTTTATAATTATGAAACCTCATTTTATTGTTGTACATAAAGTTGTGTGAGACAAAGGTGTTATACTGTACCTGGAATTATAGATCAACATGTTTCACCAAAAAAAAAATCCAATATCAATTTTTATATGGTGTTTTTATCAATACAATCAGCAAATATCAAATCACTATGTTGATAAAATACTGTACCGTTATTTTCAAAAATTACAATATTCATATAGTACATTATGTCATGTAAAATTGTCTCTTCATTGTGTGCGTAGTGGGCAAATGTAGAAGTTATTGAGATCAAAGGGAAATATCAGCTGATCGTTAATTAGGGTGCTCTTAATTAGAGCTTGGGAACCAAATATTTTCTTTGATATTAGCTGTCGACAAAACAGCTACTTTCTGTACGGAGTTATATCTTTATAAATGTGTATTAAATCAATCTAAATAAATTTATTCATAACGTACGTTTAGCACTGAATGGTGTTAATTAGTTTGAATAATGTATGCCAACTAAATGCAGCTACTCGCCTAAATGAGCTGGCTAAATGCATGCTCAGCTATGCTAAATGTAGCTGAGGGGATGGTCTTCATTCCTGTTTATTAAAAAAGTGTTCCCCAACAGAATATTTTTACTTTAATTTTAACATAATGTGGATTGGCTTTTATTGTGCCACCATAGAGAACAAAAATCATACATAATCCTGTAAGAATCAACATGTTTTAATTTTAAAGTAAAAAGATATAAAAATGAATAATGTTATCGCTGTGTGAGCTATAGGACTATAAAATTAAAGAAAACTTGTCCAGAACTTTTGTACATCTTTAAAATATCTTGAATGCTCGTACTGTTTCCTTATCAAAAGTTCTAAAAATTCATTCAAATATGTTATTTTTTCAAAAATAATGTTGTTTTGAATCACAGCTAAAAATGTGTTTTTTTCATACCTATAAGTACATTGTAATTTTGATTTACTTTTTGTTAGTACAAGATAATTCCGGTTACAGTAGATGAACTGAACACAAGATGATCATATTTTTCTGCAAAGTTTTATTGTACGAGCCACGAGAGTCTGCAGTTGGCGGCAGCTAATACCAAGACCGGGCTAGCACGACGTTGCAACATCGCCCGTCTACTACCACTTGGCCACCATCGCGGGCCTTGGCGACACTAATTAAAATACTTAACAATATTTTCAAATCAGCTGATATAAATTTCCACCGTAGAAAAAGAATTTTCAAACTAAAGTACTTGCTTACTTGCTTACTTGGAGAATTCCCACTGGTATCGCATCAGCGACGTGGTCGTCAGGTTTTTATACATTTCTTCATATATATTTATATAGATGGATTCATTTCCTCTTCAAGATTGTACATGGCCTAGACATATATCTCATCAACACTGGAGTAGGCCACTTGACTTAAGAATGTTTTTTATTCTTATGTTTTTTTATTATATAAGTATATAATATATTACAAAATAACCAGGGCAAAGCTTGATTATATAAGGTACTTAAAATATATTAATGTAAACATTTATCAATCAATTATTAGATTTGGCAACAACGCTCGATCCTCATTGGCTCCTTCGAAGTCACGTGTTAAATAGGCTCCTCCCTCAACTTCTGCAGACTCTCATGGCCATAAAAGCACTGTACAGGGTGACCAACAGGAACCAGATGTTTTTTAAACGGATAGAATAGGTGTCAGACTTACTGTCGTGAGGGGAGAGGGTGTCTTTCATTATTGTATATTATGCCATTTTAGTAGCCATGTAACATAAGGAGACAACACCGTATGTTTGCCTATGATAACTATGTGCAAAATGGTGATTTTACCACAGCAGCATAGTGATCTTTTTTAGTTCACTTTCATCTTAGACGCCATGATATCTTTTCCAGCCAAATAACATTTTCAGTTAGATTAACAAATTTTAAGACAACAGGGTCCATCTAAAACAATAAGCTGCTTGCCAGAAAAAAAAAACTGGTATCACACTACTGTTGAAACAGTTAGGCAAGCTTTGATTTGTAAGTGGTGATTGCTCAAGCACTGAGACGGCAACGTTTGATAAACAATACCTATATTCATTTTCAATAAGACCCACACTCTTAAGTTTACTGTTACAAACCCGGAACGCTAGTGGATTTCGAGGACGCAATTAACCTGGAAGTTGCGACAATTAATTGTGATCGTAAAATGCTGTGACATATAAAGAAAGAATCTAAGCAAGTGATTGAAACTTGCGCATATTAAAGTGGACACCACCTTACTTGCATTGGTTTCTATAAGTAAAGTGTGTCTGACAAGTGTAGCCAAGGTAAATAGTGTATTTCTTAAACGGCAAGAATTTACAAACATTTCATTTAACCTAAGTTATTGACACAAAAACAAAAAAATAATGCTTATTTAAATAGTCTGGTTTTTTTGGTCACCCTTTACATCTATTTTTTTATTGGAATGTTTGCTGTCTTTTCTATGAATATTTTGGCTGTTTTCCTCTGAAAATGTGTAACATTTGCTTCATTTATGCAAGATTTTAAAACCTCCCAAAATTTGACAAGCAATAAATGTGTCCCTCGAAATCTGTGTATTTTTCAGTGTGCATTTTGAAATGTTTTGCTGAAAGACTGTTTAAGTTTAAGATTGTTTCAAATCTCCCTTATTAGGTTTAATTTGTTGCCTTTTGATGTTTATTTTGCATTAATTTAAAAGTATTTTAAGAATGGTTTAGATTTTAGTGTCAATGTTCTTTATGTCCTGAGCTTGAAGTTGACTGAAAATAGTAGTACTGTTTAAAGATTTTTTTGATTACTGTTCTCATTGTTTTAGTTTGTCGATATAGTATTCTTTAAGCTTTTTAAACGTGTTCAGTCGAGTAAGTCTCGAGATTATGTCTTTTCATTTCCTATTTTAATTTTTAACTTGTAGCATAAACATGACCGTGTCTCATTTTAAATATTTTGACTATTTTAATTAATCTCATTTCATGTTAGGACTGACGATTTGTTGCTCAACTCAGATCTAGTTTCAACTTATGTGTTACGGCATTTTGTTTTCTTGTTTTCAGTCGTGTTTGTGGCAAAGTATAAAACAAAATTGACCTTGGTAAAAGGTACTAAGCGTAAAGATACCAGATAAGCTCAAAACCTCTGTGCATTTGTCTCTTTTGCAACTTAATTTACTGTATTAAGACTAGTTACTTTTTGATGGATGCCTATCAGGTCACTATGTTTACTTTATGGTATGGTTTGTTAAATATCTATAAAAATATGTAAATGCAAAATTGGTATTAAATCTGATTAATTAATTGAAATATTTAGTGGCATTGGACTATCAGTCCAGTTTTCCCTTGTAGAACCTGAATTACGTTCGTATAATTGTAATTTGTATAGTTTTATTCTAACAAATATTTTATCCTAACATTGTATTTTAGGAGGTAGCACATTTTTATTTGTCTAAATCACACTACACCTTACAAGTCTTGTTCACTTTCTGGTGAAGTATAAATGAGGCAGAAATTTGAATAGAAAACTTTTTTGAACAAAAATCCAAAATATTAATCTAGCCTTCAATACTTAAATGTTGTCTAATACATTTTTATTTGACTAATCAGTTGATAAATTTTTAACATTTCAAATAGATTGATCTTGGTGGCAACCCGTTGCGCATATTAGTTGTTAGAACTATTAATAGAAACTCATACAAATTTTTGGTTTCTTTAACTTGGCGACCAAGAAATATGTTTGTCATCTGGGTTTCATCCAAATACATTTCCATTCCTTCTAATTATCCATAATCCTAAGGCCTACCATACACGTTCCGTCCCGGACTGAAGGCCGAGCCTTGAGACCGGAACTGCACAGTTTGGCCGGAGTCGTGACCTCCCCACACACGCTCAGTCCGGAACTGCACAGTTTGGCAGGAGTTGTCTTGCCTCCTCTTGGTCTAACAGAAAGTTAAGCTCACTGAAGTACCACTTTTGTGAAGATTTTACTTTTTAACTCTTTTCTAAATGCACTCCGTAAGTTGTTTATTTTTT